GCCATCTTGGGACTGGGTCGATAACCAATCGACCAAATAATCTATAATTCTTAATCTAGTCACTCATTTGACCAATTTTCAGTGTCCCTTTTGACTAATAAAGTTCCTGTCGCCATTCTTTCACTGTTCTCGTTCAGTGTACACGCCATTCACATTCCTTCTAACAAATCTTAAAGTTTTGAGTCAATTATTAGTGCTAGTGCTATTGTAAATCATCAGAAACATTTAAGTTGTAGTCTACAATGGAAATCAATCAATAGTTCAAGACAATTCACAGAACATTCAAGAAAGTAAAATAAATTCATTTTGTATTGCATATATAGGCTAACGCCACGTGAGCAATCATATTCTTGATCAACTCGAGAGGCGTGTTGAGCTCGTGTGGGAGGTCAATAATACCGAATACACTAAATTGAACTATTGTTGGACATTCAATTCAAACATTCATTCTTGTTATTCTAATTATTGTTAAAAACATTCAATTCTTGTATTCAGACATCAAAGGTCATTCAGTGTATATTGTGTACCTGTTAGTGCTGAAAATAAAGATATTATATTTTTTATAAAACCTGACTTCCGTTTGCTCTGTTCCGGCACTATCATCCCTATCCTTAAACGGTTAAGTTAATTCACAAGTTGAGATTTTCTCAACACATCTTTAGCATCGAAATTTAAAATAGTCACAGTGGAATATTTATTCGACATTATGAATATTTCATTAAAATCATTTTATTCCATCAAACAAAAAAAATGTCATTTTTTCCATACATGTCGTAATTAAAAAATTTTTTCATCAAACGAAAATTTTTTCTCAGTGTAGACGTGGAACAATTGTTAAATACAAACATAAACAATCTTTCTTTTTTCTTTATTAACTTCCCATTAGGAAGTTATTGAAATTGGGTCGATTGGTGAAATATGAATTTTCATCATATCTCCACGTTCCTCAGTGTTTGCAAGCATACTGACCAATTTTTTAAATGATGTGTGTTCGTCAAACGTATGCATGGACGTCAGCATTTTTTTCGTTTTCGATATTTCAAGAACGGATTGAAATATCGACTACAACCAAAATTAATTCGGAAGATATTATCGAAAAAAAGATCTGAGTAAAATTTAAACAAATTAGGTCCAGCCGTTTTTTTTATAACAAAATAACTCATAAAAAATGAAAAGATTAGCTATTTAAAATATTTTTAAGTCAAACAATAACATTCTCATTTGAAAATTGAGTCGATACTGACTAGACATTATTGTTTACAACTAAATATAACTTTTATTAAACATGCATTGTTTATAACAATACGAATTTGTTAAAAACAATTGAAAATTGTGTTCATCGATTACGTAATGCGTATATCACATGGATTTGGAAGCTTTCAAAAAAAAATATTATTAATGATGAAATATGACTCTCAAAAATTACATATTTTTTATGACAATATGAATTTGTTATAAACAATTAAAAATCGTATTTATTGAATAAGTAATGTTTATCACATGTATTTGCATGTTTTCAACAAACATTGATTATAACTATTTAAATTCGTTATAAACAATTACTAATGGGAAGTTCATCATGTTAGCACAAACAAAGTGTGCTCAGACCTATTTTTTTTTTAATGATCTGCATTAGACGCGAGCTACATTTTCGGAGTTGAAATCGCCGTCCAGGTTATCAGCACTCTGACAATGGAACAAGAAGTGTATAAAGTATTAAAGATCCCATAGCAATGATTTCGTCTTACATAAATTATTATAATTGAACAATTGTAGCTTATTCAACTATCAACGAATTATTGAAGTACAGTAGTGCATAATATATAGATAACACCTTAAGTCATTTAATCGCACCGTATGTTATGTAATTATGTTTTATATTGAAAAATATTTTTGCTATTCTGACATTACATATTCCATTCTAATTAGTTATGTAATCAAAATTATTTTATTTAAAAAGCGTGGTAGGATATACTTATTAACATTATCTGAAAATAAAACATAAAATAATTACTCCTTTCCACACTACCATGGAGGTAGAGTATCTGGTGCATTTTTTTTTTACATAGTCTCCCCAGTAGGTATAATGTATGATTTCCATGCTTCTGGAAATAAGGAAACACAGTTAATAATCGCGATGAAGATAGAATTTAACAATTAGTTGGACGGAAATTCTTATGAATTAATGGAAATACATAACAGTTATCTGCAACCTCAATAACGAAACCTTTCTTAGTAATCTTTCTAATTGGCTATGATTGGAATTGAGCAAACTCCAAGACTTAATAGACTCCTATTTCTCTGGAGTCAATAGGATAATGATCTACAGAAGTATGTTTGATAACTTCGGAACCTATTATTACAGGATCTTTGTCTAAAGTTTTAAAACAAATATATTTGATAAAAATAGCTCTTTTTTTTTCTAAATAAACGCAATTATTAGGAAATTTATTTGTAACAATAAAATCACGAAATTTTATTCTTTTGTAAAAATTAATAAAATCTTCTGGAAAACTTGAATTATTTACAACAGGATATTGTAAATAGAAGCGCGAAGAGACTATTTTTTTGGCGGTGTCTGAATCGACATCTCAGAAATTCTACGGATTACTTGAGCTAGTGGATTATTACCTTGACGAATAGTTAATTTTATTCTATGGAGATAATTTTCATACGGAAAGCAACTAAAACTATCAACTTGACCAAAAGATAAAACATCCGATGGAGATTAAATTTTTGTGTCCAATCACCATATAATATTCTCGCTGTTTTTATAAAATATTCTAGTAAATATCTGGTATAAGAATTATTAGATTTATAAAAATCGTGATCACTTAAAATGGGTATAACACAATGTGATGTAATGAAATGTTCCATTTTTGCAGATGATAAAACATCATGTAAGACGATTGGACCTAAATATAAAAGAAATTGACGGAGTTCTACGGCTTTCCATCGGTGTATCGCATTAAACGATCGCGGTTTGCGGGGAAATTCCAACTACATGAACTCATTAAATTTTATGAAATATTGATCAAATGAGGCTAAATTAGTTTTGTTATTCGCAAACCTGCATTTCGGCGAGTAATTCGTGTATGTGTGTGTATAGGTAATACATATATGTGATGTAAATAGAGTGTGTCACTTTACAATGCCCTACACTTTGATGACTATTGCAGTTCATATGACTCGAAATAATGATACTCATTGGAAATTAATTAATGTAATACTAGAAAATAACTTAAAATACAGGGCTCCATTAGTTCTGGACACGGATTGAGCATTTTTGCAATATAGATGACTGGGGTCAACTGTCATCATGGTGCTGCTATCTGTCGGACTTATTTGAACTAATTTCCAATGATGATCATCCCAAATCGTAGGTTTCTAATTTTTTTGTAATTATCTAATTTCATTATCTGAAATAATATTTTTTATGCTTATAAATTAATCCATCATTATCATTTCTATCAAGTATAAATTCTAACAAACGAGCTCAATTCCAAGTCGGTATATCCAAGCATGTAGTGTAAAAACGAAATACACATAATCTCTAGATTGACATTATGCTGGCCATGTGGTTAGAGCGTCAGAATTCTATTTTGCAAGGCAGGGTTCGATCCCAGTCATAACCATTTTTTTTTCTACTTTATTTGTTAGATTAGCATGTAATTATGATATTGACATCCGATAATTAATTTTTTATAATGATTTGTTTTTTTTTCTTCACTCATTGAATGTATGGACGCTAAGTCAAAAAATATTTGAACAGGGCTATAAACCTTTTTTTTGTACAAATACATTAATAGTAGCCTGTGTTTAACAACTTATACATCTTTACATGTATTAACAATGTTATGTTATTAACAAGTTAATCATATTATTATTAACATTGGAAAGTAGTTTAAACAATCCGTGGCGAGTTCCGGCACTTCGCTGGCAAACTCTATCCCCACCCTTCGTACTTAAGCCTGCATTATACAATTTATAAACATAAACACAATGTCAGAGATGATATGTTAGCTCTGTGGTTATTAGAACACCAGGCTTTTATTTTACCGATTAGAGTTCGATCCCAGTCACAGCCAAATTTTTTCCCTTTTTTTTCATTAAAATTTTACATAAATGCAGTAATTGGTTGTTTATATAAGTTTAAAATTAATTCCAATTGTCTTCTAAAGACAAGATTTTCTAAAAAAGAGAATTCATAGTAACTCGTTGCTCACCCTCAGCTTATTTTCAGAAAAACAATTTTTTTCCGTAATTCATTGGAAGAATAATTTAATCATATATATGAATTAATTTATAAGTATATAAAGTCACGTAAATAAAAAAAAGAAAAAAAAATCGCCTATGACTGGGATCGAACCCTATCCAGCAAAACAGAAATCCAATGTTTTGACCTTAGAGCTATTATATTTACAACCTAGATATGTATGCTCGTAATTCATAAACTGCGGCCTCGAGTACGGAAAGTGGGGATAGAGCTTGCCGGCGATGTGCCGGAACTCGTCACAAATTGTTGTAAGTGCTTTTCATATTTTTATAATTGTTTAAAAAAACTGCTATCTTCTATGTAGCAATATAAAAACAAGTTTTTTCAGACTTTCTAATAATTTTCTTACTCTTCCTCCTCAAACTCCCAACTTTTAATCTGTGAAGTCGGATATTTTTTTAATGAACCAATGAGAAATTATGATCTATGCAGCAAACGAAAGCTTATAGACGATCTATATGATGAATGTAAACATGACTAAGAATAGTACACGTTGGGCGTTATTTGTGTTTCTCTTAAATCTATAGAGTTATTTTAAATGATCCTTCCATGGAAATTATGTAAATCAGTTGTTGTACAAGATTTAGATTAAAAAACACGCTTCTGAACTTTCTTGCAGTATATCATTCTTTCATCTTTTTCTGTGGATGGAGTTTGATAGATGCAAATTATTTATGATTGTATAAAATCTTATAAAATTGCATCAAAAAAAGTTTTCTAGCGCTTGTTCATTATCATGTGCGAATGATTTATTTATTTACTAAACAAGAGAAATTATGCATAGGTAAATAATTGTAAAAACAGCGTAATCGATTATTTATACGTGATGATAGCTACATCTGTACATACAATAACAATTCATAATAAGAAAAACAAAAGAAAATTAACGGAGCTCATTTGAGAATAATTTCACCATCAGCAACCAGGAATATTTCCGGATCATCTTCAGAGACAGTATAGATCTTCACTTCAGCGTGCATTGCTCCCGGTTGAGTGTTTTGTGGAAGTTTATCTTGAGGTATTTCATATTTCTTTATTTTGAAGTCTTCCCCCTGAATACATACATTTTTTAAAGATTATCAATTAAATCAATACAAAAATACCGTGAAGAAAACGTCGATATCGAGAAGTGAATTGTTCCTAGTTAAAAATTGATTTCAAGCGATCTATAGTTAATTGATTTATATTAAGAGTAACATACTCCAAAATATCAGTTATTTACAACCAATTCATATATAATTTGATTGTGGATAGTTAATTAATGCAATTTGATCTTAACAACAAAACACCGTTGTAGTTGAAGAATATTTCGTTTAATTTATGGTAAAAATAGTACCTTAATAAATGGACACTCTTCTGGAAACTGTCCTTTTGGTTCTGCATATTTTACAATTTCTTTTCCAAATGACTCGTCCTCTAAAGCGTCACAGACGGTTGATTTAAAGTCGAGTACAACTTGTCCAGATAATTCAACTATTACTGCTATCTATTCATTGATAAAAAAAACAGTAACATGAACATTCTGTTTCAATTTGAACTAATTATAACATTTAAAACCTCATAAGACCTAATTTGATAAAATTTCATACAGTTCTGGGCTTACATGCAACGATGGCTATAAAGTTTTAATAGGTCCTGAATTTCTTTACAATTATTGTTAAGTTATGGACGATACAATGTCATAATCAAAAGCAAGTGTTATTACTGGCGGAAAACCAATTGAAATTAATCAAAACTTTTCAGTTGACGTAGTTATTCAATCTAGAATTTATCATACTTGACAACTATTGAATGTAATTTACAGTTTTTAAGTGTCATTGATGAGTAATTAGTCCAACCAACAAAAGAGATAATAGTCCAGTTCTGATGCAATTGAGAAACAGGTACAAAATGTAATTAGATCATTTGAACGAAAAAAAGCGTCTACGTTATAATGATTTCACTAAAAAAATAACTTCAACTATCCTGAAGCCGCATATTTTACTTTTTATCTGTACAAGGACGCAAAATTCAAAGATAATTTATTAAAACTGATTTGTTCTTTAAATTATGTAAAAACTTTTGTTTATCAGTATTACTGTGTACTAATCAATTATTGGGAGTACGCATATAAACTAATTGTAACTGAAAATATTCAGGTTATCAACCTCAATTGATCAGTACAAAAAAAAACTTTCAATTTTTAATCCATATTGACAGAACTAGTATCGTTTCATTGACATAAATATCAAAGTATAAATAAATAACTTATTCTCACCATTGTGTCATCTGGGAGGTCCCGTAAAACAGGCGAGTCAACACTAAGTATTTCACCACCAGATTCAATTACACCTTTCCATGTGCCGAACCAATTGTTATTAGGTGCATTTTTTATGTCAATTGTATTAATAATAATGTAAGGTTTTGGCTAAAAGTAAAGTAGAATATTTTCTTTAACAAAAATACAGATCATAGCATTAAAATTTTGATATTCTAAAATAAATGAGCGAATATGAAAAGAAGGAAGAAAAAATCGTCATGAGCTAGTGTAATCATGATTTCTTTGCGATCATGAATTAGGTTGTTCAAAAAAGACGGTGATAGTAAATGCGATGCCTGATCCCTGATATTTTGTGACTTTTCTCTTTTACTACACAATACATTTTCTACTCAGTACATTAAAAAAAGGTTTTAATTAACAATGGACGTACTTTCAATTTTAATAGAGGAATATATTCGGACTCATTTTTCGATTTTACATAGGTTTGCTGCAAGATAACCATTGAAATAAAATTTTTATTAATTGGAAATAAAATATCCCGAATGTTAATATTTTAATGCGGAGTATCTTCAACTTATCCTAAAAAAATTGTTTACATCTTTTATAGTTTATGAGGTGACAATAAAAACTGTTTGAGATAACTATGAGTCTAGTAGCCGTAAATCTAAGCCCTATGCGATCGTTCATTAATTATAGAATGAGAATAAAACTTTTTTGCTTAGATATTCTTGTAGAGGATGATGAGGAGAGTATTTTTTTGCGAATTTTGATTACTCGGAAACAATAATTACTATTGTTTATCGAGTGTCAAAGTTTGGCAAATTGCGTCTTTCCAAAGTGCGTAGAATTCGTTTTTCCATAAAAAACTATGAAAAATAATTTATAAATTCGAAAAAATGCAAGAAATGTAAAAAAAAAATTCACCCCCAAAATGAGGGTGAAAGAATCCAAAAGCAACATTTGGATTTTTTTCAGTATTAAAAAAATTTTTTTAAATTGGCTATAAAATGTACCCATATACTAAAAAATTATAAGGGTGAAAGGTTCACAAAAAAAATTTTTTAAAAAAGACGCTTCAGATACTAGAAAAAATCGAATTTTTTTTTTCTTTTCATTCTGATCGGAAAATGACCAGAAAACAGTTTTGAAAATTCTAGAATTTTTTCAGATTTTTCAAGGTATTGAAAATATTATTTTTTTAAATGTTAATAAAAAAGGCACTCAACGGCATATTCTGCCGGAGCGCCTGAAATGCTCGATTTTCAGCGCGCCTTTGCAGCGCTCTGCACCTTTACTTGTCCACGATAGACAGGTGTTCTTGCGGACTTTTTTCTAGAGTATCCGATTATCTACAAAAAAGACGTTAATTTTTTTTATGTCTCTTACCGTTCTCGCTACGTAAGCGGTGAAAGGTGGAAAAACGCAATTTGCCAAACTTTGACACTCGATAAACAATAGTAATTATTGTTTTCGAGTAATCAAAATTCGCATAATATACTCTCCTCATCATCCTTTACAAGAATATCTAACCAAAAAAGTTTTATTCTCATTCTATAATTAATGTACGATAACATAGGGCTTAGATTTACGGCTACTAGACTAATCGTGTCAATAGCTCTAAGAAAATCTGCTTATATTTGTAGCCACGTTGGAAAATTCCATTCTCATAACTTTTGATGACGTAAAGTATTTTATATATCTTACCGTTTGTGCAGACATATAAGCTACTGTTGAAGCAGCCATAACAAATCCTAACAAATATCGAACCATTACTAATAAATGTTTTAGTTTTCTGTATACTGAAGGACTCAAACAACTGCCAGTTTTTGCTTATTGCCATCTTTATATACAGGTGATGGTGAGTATTGTTTTGAACAATGTTTAAATTGCTAGAAGTGAGTGCCATCATTAATGAACTGATACACATCGTGAGAACCGCAATAAAACGAAGTTCCCAGACTTTTTTCAAATCATAATTATTGGAATGAATAGTGATTACGCTGATAACAAAATATAAACGTTGTAGAACAATAAAAAATATTTACTTATCGTGATAGAATTTTTCATCAAGATAATGATGACTACTATTATCATATTTATATTATCACTACGTAAAATGTGGTATTTCAAATATTGAATTTTTTTTTCTTAGGAAAATCACTATGACGTTGACACTTTTTTTGCCTGGAACCTTTAATCTTATCGAAATTAGATTTAATTTTTGTAATACTCAAAACTCTTTTCTCAAAAGTGCATGGGTGTCAGCATTAGAAAAAGAAAAAAAAGGATTAATAATTTTGGGATTTTACAATACAGAAAGCTCTTTTCTACGTCATCATGTAAACTTCAATATCATTAAGTCATACAAACAAAAGTGCAACCTTACTGTATACGTAACCTTTAATTGTATATCTTTATAATTAATTTGCATGATGGGATAATTTTCAATATACAATCAATAGTAACCATTAGCTTCAAGCTAATGCTTCAAGCTATTAATACAGTATTTATCTCGATGCAGATTAGACCACGCCTTTAAAGTTTTTTTCACACATTTCGATTCAATTCCAGCCTTTTTTTCATCAGTCTCATTTAAATGCTATCTCAAGTGGACGTCTTTATCGTAGCTATAATTTTATACGCGACGTACCTAGACATTGCTGTTTGCGTATTAGTAAATTCTATCTTTAATATAATATATTTATAAGAATATCTATACTTTCCATATATATTTAATGTCCGCAATGTTCCATATTATTTTAATTTTTTTATTTGTAACGCATACTTGAATACTGAATGAATGTATAACAAATATCCTTTTATGCATAATTTATCATATTCATGACGCATAAGTTTTTTTTATAAAAAGCGATAATGCGTATACGTTAAATTATATTTTGAAATTTATATTCGTCGTATATCGTCAAAAAAGATATACAGAAGTTTTTTAAATGCCATGAACATATTGATATGTGAATATAATAGAAGGATTAATATCAAATGAAATTTAAAAACGATGTCATTCACATATCTTTGTCCTTTTTTCTCTATACTTTTTTATCACTATGCTCCGCAGATTTTATATCATTGTTTAGGTCCATTTTCCCTTGGTCTTTTTTGCTTTCCATTGGAGCTAATACAGGCCACAAAAATCAAAATATATAAGTATTGAAAGAGCCTGTTCACTAATAGAAAGATTTTCGAATGAGTGTGGAGCTATGATTCCAAGTGCCTTACGTGGAATAACATTGCATAAACACATTGCTACATTTACAGCAATGTTAGATGTAGAAGAAAATCCACTCGATCGTCTAACAAACTTTATAAGACATCATAAAGGAATACATAAAAATATTTATCGAGTCCCAGATCCAGTAACTGAAATGACAGACGTTTCTCACCTTCTTGTTGCTGTCATGGGCGGAGGTGAAGAAGAAGTAGAAAATGCTGAAAGCTCTTGGTATGACAGTTTTCTAATCGATCGATAATACTGATGAATTTGCGTAATAATCAACGGAAATGACTGTCACAGTAAATGACTTTTTTAACTTTTTGAGTTCAAATATCTCGAAAATAAAATAAAATTGGAAAAAAGTCAAATGACTAAAATATCCTTTAAAGTATGAGGAAAAAATTTTTTCTAGTAAAATATTAACGATTTCGGCTCCGTTCACAAGATATCAATTAAAATATGTGGATCCAGCGGAATAATTATTTTTTAAACTGAAGAAAATATATGAAGCAGTTAGTTTCTTTGGCTGGGAATCAGTCCATCTCATTCAGCGAATTTTTTCCTACAAAATGAGCCTGGTCTTGACTTGTGCCACGAAAGTGTTTATTAACCCTGTTTTCCGCTGGACATTGACTAGACTCTTATATGAGCTCATACTGTACGCTCTGGCAAAAAAATTAAGTGTATATTTTACAGACAGTCCTCGATGTATACATACAATTAGTTTATAATGTACGCTTGAGAAAATTTTGGATGTATATTTCAAGGAAAGTCCCTAATGTATACATCAAGTGCATGAATCCATAAAATTTTTTTAAATTTTATAATAAATGTATTCTTTGATGACGGTTCTTGATGTATACTAGTTTTTAACGAGTCCACAAACTATAGGTATAATAGAGTATTGATTATATTAATTCACATGATTATGCACGAAAATGAAGTTCATAATTGACTGATAGAGCTTTATTCTTTAAGCAACATGTAGAAACTGAAGAGTATTTGGAACAGATTTGCGTTTGAGAATTTTGTAAATTCGCAAAAATGGAGAAGTTATTGAATTATATAAATGACTAATAAGAAATCACAGATAACAAGTAAGATTTAGCTAGAGAGGGAATACTTTATCGATGAAAAATGAATCACTGTATGTAAAATTCCAAAGTGACTACCATCACTCGGCAACAATTACGATTAAATTCTTAACCAAAAAAAAAGGTAAATATCGAAGTGAGACGACTTCACTTGTACAAGTTGTTATCCTTGTTTATTAAGCGTGAATAGACAGCATAGAAAAATACTAAGAATTGAAAATAATTTTACAGTTATTAGAAATAATATTTTTAGATAATTTTGCAACACTTAGAAATTAAATTTATTAGTAGAATGCTGCCACTTTAGCGGACCTCACTCCCATCCCCACCACAAAGACGAGATGAATTTGTGTCAGCCGGAGCGGTTTAACAGGGAGTGGGGGTAGCCGCGTAGCGCTGCGTAGGGCGGCGAGATCGCGGGTGGGGGATAAAGAATTTAAGACAGGTGTTAATTATAGTTATTATTTGAATAAACAATTTGAATTGTTATTCAACGATTGTAATGTATTTGATAATTTAAATTTAAATATTTAAGTTTTATTTAATGATTACAATGTAATTCTCCTCAAATTACAAAAAGTTTTCAATATTTATTATTAGGGGATGCGTATAGCGGCGTACCCGGCGTAGTTCAGCTGAAAGGCCTCGACGAGCCATCTAGCAGTTAACCGCAATGGTATGGTTCTCGGCTGGTATACGGTAAACAGACGCGGTGTTATCACGATCGAGCGTAAAAATGAGGGGCCTGGTGTTGCCGCTCGACGCGTGGAAAAATAAGATTGAAGGAAGCTGCACATTTACGTATTTACGGCCGCTACGCGCAGATATGTATGCTCTAACTTCCTCCTAGTTGCAGGCGTGGCGTTTGAGCTGTAAATTGTGCAAGTGAGAGCACAACAACACAGCAAAACATAAAGGCATAGAAAAAAAAAGGCATATAGTTGATGCTACGAGCCACGTGTATTACACAACAATGTTTGACGCCGTTGCTTAACAGCGGGGCATGATGGCCGCTGCATATACACGTGCTCACAACAAATCATTTTCCCGATCAAACGTAAATGAATATTTTTAATTATAAATGACATAAGGTATTTAAAGAATTGACAACGAAAATAGTTGAATATTGCCCTATTGAGTTATTATTTCTATTAAAATATAATTTTATTCTTACTCAAACTGTTCTGACTTTGAGTCGAACGGACGAGAAAACTAAAACCTAGTGGACTGTAATGATACGAGCAGAACAAAGAAAAAGGTTGGATGCTAGAAGGTTCCCCAAAAATAGTTCATTAACACCAAATTGTATGGGTTTTATAGATTTTATTAACCAATAACACTTAACTTAAACAATAGAAATTAATAATCACTAAGTTTATGTGAGTTGAGTGTAAATGAATTGTTCATACACTTATGAATTGTCTGATGGTTATCGTTTTCACCAAAAAAGTCTCAAACAGTGAATAGCAACAGGCACACTATACACCTGAGTTGTTCGAGTGTGTGATGTATGTGTGACTGTCCGTGAGGCACTATGGCGTCGACGCCAGTTCAGCTTCGCGCCCAAAGACACTACAACTGACTCTACTGGACCACTGGCACTGATGAGATTAATTATGATGGTACAATGATGTTCACGAGAGTTGTCTGGAGATAACTGACCGTATTGTTTACTACAAAGGGTGAGCTGACTGCAAAAAACTGCGAATTGACTGCGAAAGGTTGTACCGAGATGACCGCGTGATTTGCCTGGAGCTAACTGACGCCACAAGTGCTCGACCGCGTGCTTGTTGGCGTCACTAGGGCCGTAGAGTTGCCTTCTGGGCCATGAGGGAAATACTTCCCGATGATTGGTGGACAAGTCCGGCATTAACAATTTTCAAATATTCTGAGACTTGCTGACTTGGGGCCCTCCAAGTCAGAACACAAACATATTTGATTAAATTTACGCCCTTCCCCCATAAATGTATTTTATTGTATTTTAAGCGTTTTTTTATCATAAAGGTCTTGTAATATTCATCTACAATTCCATCGTTTTCGGAATATTTTATTCTAAAGCAAGATAAAACGTCACTAAGTAGATAATTTGTAGACATAGCATGCAAAAACATAATACAATATTGGCCGTACACTTGAGAATCTTCCTGTTGTAGATGTGTTGACGGAGTGGCGCAAGTATCGACAATTCTTTCGGAGTCTCCTAAGGTGTTCTAGAATAATTGGTGGCAGTCCATAGCTGTCGAAGTAGTAGCCGATGTCATCTTGATTAACGTACATGGCAACCCAATGTTGCCCTGGTTGTTTGTGATCATCGGTATTAACTACAAATGCTGTTGGTTTCATCCATACCTTCGGAATCTTGTCTGCTGGATATACGCCTATTGTATAAGCTGGGATGTACTGAAGAGCTTCTATAATTTGCAGCATTTCTATTACATGCTTTGCAGTGATTATCAGCGCAATTTGAATTTTGCTTTA